ACAGGATATGACGTATTTCTCATCTGATTGCTTCGTTGCTATTTTTATTGAAAGTACCATACGTGTTTGCTTATTGTGTGCACATTTCTATACATGACATACGTATATTTTACTTGTTAAATTCATTCTAAGAAAATGAAATCATACATATTATTTTTTTCAAAGGAGATCATGAATTCGATCTCAACATTTTCCGGCTACAGAATACCTTTTTGATGATACTTCAGATGTCTTACGCGAAATATATATGTACTCAAAGCGATTATGTATTGTAAAATCTTACAAACATTTCCATGAAAGGGTAGGCAGGGATGTCGGTGGAAAGCCACTTTTCAGAAATTCTTATGTGGCTTGGAAAGTTATGAAGCCATTAACGGAACCGTATTCTGTTCAAGTTCATTTCTAGGAATATGTGTAATTTATTGTAAGTCAAGGACCGACCCGTAGGTTGTGATCACTAGGTTCTGCCACATAAGTTTGGGTTTAAGTATGTGGGTACGTATAAAAGAAACCTGTCTACCACGTTTACGGGACTCTTGAACAAGAGATTCCTGATCGCGAAAGTATTGTTAGATTGGAAATTCTCAGTAAAATATTATAGTCCGGAATTGTAATCGGCGTATAATGTGGGCTTCAATCATAACATAAGCTTGCCTCCTATTACGAAAATGAAATTTAACGAAACAAACCATAAGCAGTTTGGATAAAAATTAAATAAGAATATGTTTCAAACTTGATATCACAGTTTACAAACCATTGCAAGAGACTACGGCCCTTTCGCACAAATATCATGTCGAATGCAACGATTATAATTAAGATATTCAAACAACAAAATAAGAAGCGTAAAAAATCAACATTCCTACTGTATTTATTCTGATCGTTAGAAGTTACGATCATAATGAAATGAGTGTGTGTCCACCAGGCTTCGGCACGAATGGGCCGACTCGAACGGAGTGATAGTATGTCTCATAGAAAATCGGCATGATACATAGCTACTCTTTTTTAATCAGTTTTCCAATATATTTCTTTTACATTATTAATGGAAACGGTGTTATATGCTACCTACTTTATACAAACCAGTAACAGCAGAGGGGGATATGAATCCAGCTAAATTCACAATTATATAAATTTTCGTGTCTGTTATTCTCGACAGAAACGTTTTGTGTCAAAACGTCAAAACGTCCCTTCTATGAGCCTCTCGTGACATTGCTACAGCGATCGATCCCCCCTTTCCCGCATCCCAGGGGCCAGCCAAACTCACGTTACGTGTAGGTACAATGTTTAACAAGAATATTTGTATTGGCCTTAAATGTAGACATGTAAGGAATCTTCCAAGTTAACCAACTAACGATCTCATGAAAAATTAAAACAAGCTCTTTCTCTCATTTTCTTGACGATTTTCTATAATAGTGCTTTAAAATACTCTCACAATCGATTGTAAAAAAAGCAACGGGTGTGGAAAGGAAAACAGCTTAAGGTCTTAACAACAACTTTTCGCGTTAATAGACCTTGTTATTTTATGTAAGCACGTAACTGTTATAAATATATCTAACACAGAATATTCACAAAGCGTCTAGTCTGCAAATTGAATACAAGATCTCCCGGGGGATATCTTGGTAACAAATACGGGGTGTATTCGGGGAGTGTCGGGAGTGCCGCCCAAAGTGAAGAGGGCGGATTTTTCAAAACCCCTCATTCCCGCGAAAACTATCGAGCCCGCCGAACGTGTCGGTACCCTTTTGCAAAATTCGCGTTCGCTCATAATAATTAAATATTTTATTCATTTCTTTGGCGTCCAACTATAGAGTGATTCGGGCAGATTACTCCAAATATTTTGCGTTGTCGTTGTGTCGCTATTACAGAGAAACTTCGAGGTGTTAATCGCATTAAGTCGTAGTGTATTTATAAGTAGTTTAGTTGAGTGTTATTGTTTACAAAACTTAGTCTCGGTGAGTACCAGTGTGTTTACGTTACGTTGCGACGTTAGGTTAATTGTACAACCGTTTGTCGCTTAAGGCTATATTATAGTGCGGATAAAAGTTCCGACCTTTGTCAACAAAAATAATGTTTTGTTAGGAATTATTTTGTTAATTGCTTTTTTTGCCGTCTTCTGATTTGATTTTTAGTTTTTGCAATTTCGTTTTCGTTCATATGATAAAATAATTAAAGGGTATATGTAATGATATTTGTTAAAAATAATAAATATGGTGGATAGATTGACTGCGAAAAACGTTGATTGGTGATATTTAAAAATGGAAACAACAGCTGTTGTTCAGAACATTGATCGATTCAAAAAAAAACATTAAAATTACGATAAGTTATAGTGGGATTCAGATAATTTTCAACAGATTAAAAAAAATAAAAGCAAAATAGAAAAAAGATTGCTTTTACATTACAGTATTGAAATTCCAATAAATGGATTAATAAATACAATTATTATTTAGTATTTAAATTTTTATGTTTTATATAAATTATAATATATTGATTTACACACAGTAATGCTATTTTCAACGTGTCATAAAATGTCTTATTATTTATCAAATATCGAAGAATAAATTAAGTCATAAAAATAATAATAACTGGTTCGTTTTAGTTTATGATTGGTTTACGACAATCTGATAACGATTTTAATACATATGGAATAGTCCATAGGCATTTAAATCGTGTGGATTTTATTATACGAAAATAGTTTTATTATTTTATTGATATACTTAATAAAATAGTTATCATAATTATATGTAGGTGTATGTGTTATTAAAATCGGGTGTGATTATTTATTAATTGTTAGACCATCACCAAGATTAGGTAGCAGAATTGAGGTTGGAAAAACGACACTTAATTTTTTTTCGTTTCGTTTTGGAATATCTGCTAGGTGATTGATGTTATAACGCATTTCTATTCAAAACTATAATTTAAAATGAAAAGGATTAAACGCATTACGCTTAATACCTATTTAAAATAAAAATAAGTATAATAATGTAAAAATTAAATATTGCATTGATATTTATTTTTATTATATTTTAGTATTACAAAATGTATTTTCTTTTTTGACTCTTTCAAATTCAAATAAAAACCTATAGTAATAACAACTGTTGATTTTAGTAGTTCGATATTTTTTATTTGAACAGTAAGTACTTACTTATGTAAGGTACTTTTTCACTATATAAACACTATTCTATAAAATAGATACAAACATTCGAATAGGTAAAGTTGTAATGTTACCTACCTGTATTTTTAATAAAACTTTTTTTTATTTATCGAATAATATTTCGTGTTATGTTGGTACACATCGGGTGTAATTCAATTAAATTGTAATTTGAAACGCTCGTTATAAAACAACTTGGCACTCAAAATCGATTTATACGTATGTATGCGTAAAACATAAAATACTTATTTATTTAAAATTTTACACTCAGGCGTGTAACTAAATTTAGAGTAATTTCGTTCGTTTATGGTAGTTTGTTTTTTTTATGTTTATTTTTCCAATAATACCTAAGTGACCTTTCACGCAATGTTTGTTTAAAACTATATTATTATTATTATTTCGAGACTATAAATTTATTTTTTATTGTTCAAATATGTACGAATTTTATCTATTCCATGTGATAGGTACAGATACAAAAATGTGTATCATTGTGCCTAGCTCACATTGTCAGAATGCATAGTGATACTATTTTGTATATCTTTCTCTTTCTTTGTTCCCCTCTACCTCAATCATTATTTGTTCATATTTGTTATTTAAAAATGTACTAGATTTCGCTTTCGGCGAGAAAGAGATCTTTTTGCCCAGCTCACGCAGTATGTGACACACACATACTGAAATGCCAAATAATACAATTTCGGCGGGGAGAAAGAGAAAGATAGGGATCTTTCTCTCTCTCTCTTACTCTCTCCCCTCTCCCTCTTTTATTATCTCTTCATATTTGTTGAAAAAAAATGATGTAGGTACTATTTTTCTATTTTGTGAGGTAAGTATAGATATAGTAAGATAGATGGTTGCGCCTGGCTCATACATACTACTGATAAACAAAGACATGGAATGCTAAATGATACGATTTTGACGTACCTACCCTTGTCTTTCTCTCTCCTTCTCCCCTCTATCTCTCTCTTTCACTTTCTCTTTTGGCATGCCCGTCGATTTAGGGTGCATTTAATTGGACCCTTACCGTTACCAGTTGGAGTCCATTCAAAATAACGTATTTTAGTAAAGTATATAAAAAAACTCAAAATTCTTTAACAATATAAATATTAAGGAAAAACTCGTCATAGTTCAATAAATTTTCAAGTTAGTATATTATCAAAAAAAAGTCATTTGTATATGAGAATACAACCAGTTTAAGTCTACCTCGCTACACGAACAGTTTGCTTACACTGAGATCTCAAAGTATATTGGAATTTGACGTTATTATTTAAAACAGTAAAGAGTTCTAATACCATAAAAATATTTACGTAACATTTTATTACTAAAAACGAAACGTCACAAGAGCATATCAAATCACATTCAGCGGTGTTCGAAAATAGAATAAGGAACTGCAGCCTCAGCTTAGACCAGAAAAAGGAACGTTGTTGTATTCAGTCAGTAATAGTCTGTTTGAATGGGTAAAAAATTCTTTCAAAAAAAAAAATTACTGACCATCATTAAAAACATTAACTGAAGGTCTTTCTCCTCAAGCCGTTATTTTGCGAGGTTGACACTCGAGCACTTTTCTTGTCTATCGATCATCAACCCTAAGGGCGATAGAACAAGTCCTTTATTGGTACAGACAAAAGTAAAAGCAAAAAAGGGTTTTAAAAACCATTTATTTCGATAAACTTATCACTAGTGATGGGACATTAAGTGTAGAATAATATTAACAAAGTATGTTGCTGATATTTTATGACGTCGAGTTTTAAGAGTTCCTTGTCCTACCTAAACCCCTTGTTACCCAACAAAAGTTTAACAATCAAATTAATCGAACTTTTAATTGACTTTTCGACACAATCGTTACTTTTTCTTAACTATGCCGTTAACGATAACGATAAACTGGTGAGTTAGATTAATTTAACGATTTCAGTTTTAACGTTACCTACTGATTATTTTTACTACTGCAGCCGTTTCCTAGTTAAAATTATTGTCGTTTAGAATGTAAAAATATTGTTTATCGGTTATTTATCGTTTTAATTGCGCGAGTGTGAGTTCATATAGGGTGTTGATAACGTAATCTAATATGTGTTTACCTTAATTTTTTTGTGGGTTTAAAGCACTACCGATGTTAAAAAACTATAATGTTAATGTGTACAGAATGGTTAATGAATAACTGACTATTGAAGAGCAAATATTATGAATTTTTATTTTTCAAAATGCTTGAAAGTTTGTATATAGCTGAATCTAGGGATAAGTGTGTTTATTATTCATTACCTAACTTTTAAATTGGGCGCATACTTTGGTCCCTAGAGAATTAAGTTAAAGGTCGCTTTAACAGCGAAGTCGCGCATTTTAGGCAGTCGACGTACATTGCTCGATACATTTGTCTTCACGTGGGGGAAAACGCAGCCCGCTGCTGTAATGTACGACGCACTGCACAACGCACCACACACGTGGACCATTTTTTAGTGGAGGGTATAATATTCAAATATCTTCTGTCGCCCAGGGTATGTCGAGAGGTAGTGTCAGACTCTTACTGACTAAAACCAACCCATCGCTTTCCCTGCTCCAGCCCAAGGCTGCGGTACCTACACTGCGCTTAATCCGCGACTCCGGCTAAACATTGGTCATGCTGGCCAAAGCTTAGCTGGAGCCCCATCTATGGATCTCCGGGACCCTAGTCTCAGTACAACTATCTTTTTATACTAATATTAACAAGTAATTCCACAAACCAGTTGCAAATAACAATTTTTTTTTCTTTGTTTTTTAAAAACAAAAAGTCGCTGCCCCACACTAGGATTTTCTCCTATGTCGTGGGTGCGTTTACGAACATAGGTACATATCCTCATACACTTGACACCCAGACCTGATACAACAATTTGTGGATCACACAAAGTCTTGTTCCGAGCGGGAATCGAACCCGCGACACGTTGCACAGCAGCCAGTTGCTCAGCCATGCGCCAGCCGTGCAGTCAATTCCTAAATCTATAGCTTAACATCAATTACGACTGACCAGTTGGTCGATAACTGATTTTATTGTTTTAGTATAAATAAATAAAACGTTTCTAATTGCAAACCCTAGTTAAGTGGTAGACTAATTAATAGTTAGTGCTGTACAGTTACTCGGCTCTATGATTGTTTGTGACTAAAACTGTGATTAAATGTACGTACGTAATTTTTATTCTCTAATAAAATTTAATATTAAAAATTAAAAAAAAAATATCTTGCTTCACTAATGCATTTTCTCTCTTAAACGTAATGCACATACAAACAAATATAACAAATTTCAAAAGTTTGCAATAATGTTTGGATAGCGGTATTAGTAACTCTTACACGTAAAAACTACCGAACAGCAGAACAACATTTTAATTCTCAGATAACATTTATCGGACTATTGAAAAATCAGCCATAAGACAATAAAATCTCAAAATTGTCATTTATCTACTGCCGTATACTTGACTCGATGATGAATTACTTAAACTACTTTCTTAGATAAGATTTTGTGCCAAAATCAATTGTTAGGGATAGGATTTAGTAAAAGATACTTTGACTGTGGGCACGTTCATTATCATCATCCTATAAGTGCCTACTGCTGATCAAATGCCTCTTCTTGCACGAAGAAGGTTTTAGTATAAATCACCAAGCTTGCTCATAGCGAATTGATAATTTTAAACTTGTAATTGGAAATTATAGATCCAGGTTTCCTTTCCCAGTTTGTGAGCGGTGTATAAACAATCTTAGGAAATAGATACCTATAGGTAACTACGAAAAAGTCACTTTGGTAGTTGACAGGTTTCGAATCCTTCCTCATGCATGAGGAGCGAGCAACCCAACCTCCAGGCCACCACGAGCCACTAAGTAGGTACGGTGCAAAGAGGATAATACTACCGGATTATTCCTCTATGGTACAGTGTGTGGGTGTGGGTTCGAAACCTGGCGAGTACCAATGTGACTTTTTCCGAGTTATATGTACTTTCTATGATTATTTAGACACCACTGACATACGGTGAAGGTAAACATCGTGAGGAAACCTGGACTTATAATTTCTAATTATAAGTTTGAAATCGCCAACCCGCATTGAGCAAGCGTGGTGATCAATGCTCTAACCTTCTCCATATGAGAAGAGGCCTTTGCTCAGCAGTGGGCACTTATAGGCTGATAATGATGACAGTGTGATCAAGGTGGTTAAAAAGATTTTTCAAATCAGAAATAGTTTAGGAAACATAGAGTAAATAAACAAATAATCAAGAACTTTTGTTCTTAATTAATATTTATTATGAATATTTTAATGATAATCTTCGTACCAACAAATGGATTTTAATAATCTCAGTTAAAACGTATCATTTAACGGGCCTGCGGCCGGGACTTCGCGCTCGATGTGTTTTGCGAAATTAAAATGCTCATTTCTGCAATTAAACAAAACGATTCAGACTATTATTATAATAATCGTAAGTAGATTAATTTCGTGTTATAAATAACTGGAGTGAGTTCTGTCAATTATTTTATTGATGAATAGCTCAAGTATACCTGCATTATATGGGGTTATTGCCTAAATTTATGACCCTGTATATACATACTATGTGTATTTATTGTAGCCATTCAAACAAATCCAAACTAATATTATAAATGCGAAAGTAACCCTGTCTGTTTAACTGTCTTTTTCCACGCCTTAACTATACTGAACCCATCTGTGTGAAATTTGGTACAGACACATAGTTTGGAAATCGAGAAAGTACATAGGATAGTTTTTAACCAAAAAATCTACAGGAAATCACTATTCCACGCGAATAAAGTTGCGGGCAAAAGCTAGTGTCTTAATTAATGATGCAGCGTTCTAGACAAAGCGCTAAAAGCAGGAAAAGGAAAGAGGCAGTCTAAACTTCTAAAGTCTGTATGAGTATGACAATCATTCTCTCTAACATGCATGGGAGAAGTTGTTTTATGATTTTCCCAACACAAAATATCTCTTAGCTGTGATAGCTATCTAACTCATGTTTCTGTCGGGACAGGATCGGTTGGGAAAACCACCAGGTAATTCCGTCGGTCGAAACAGGATCAGTTTGGAAACCCATTAAGAAATTCTCTCGGCCTGGTTCGGCGAGAGGAAGGATCAGACTCTTACTGACTATAAAACACTCATTTCTTTCTCCTGCTAAAGTCAGTGATACAATATTGGGGTTGGTTCTAACGTAATATCACTTTCCATTTTGATGCCGTGGTTGCGGGGTAAGCGCAATGAGGCACCGCGACCTCGGCCCAGAGCAGGAGAAGGAACAGGGGGGTTTGTAGTCAGTAAGAGTCTGACACTCCCTCACTCACTCCCTGGGCGGGAGAAGTCATTTGATGATTTTACCCTCACAAAAAAAACCTTCCATTCTGATGTCAATCTCTTCACTTTACAACTAACTAGTCAGAACGAGAAATTCTACTAAGTATTCAATCAAACAGCTCAAATGAATGTAATTAAGATAGTTGGCAGCGACATACTTACCTGTCTTTATTTTGGTACAAACATTTTATTGGTTGATATATTTTGATAAGCTCATTTGCCCTAATCCCCAAAAGACCTAATGGTCAACGCTCTCGTAACTCCTCTGATGTTGCGGGTGTCCATCGACAAAGAAGGTTGTTTACCATCAGGCAATCAGCCTGCTTGTTTGCCGACATAACACATTATAAAAGGCCCTAGAAAGTTCTTAAATGATATCGAAAAAACAATCCTCCAACGATGTTAATGTCTTCCAAACAAATCTCTAATTTCCTACATTTTTTTACTTTTTTTTAAAAAAAATAAGACGTTGCCTCACATTAGGATTTTCTCCTATGTCGTGGGTGCGGTACAAACATACAATTTCACATACACCATACATGGCACCAGGACCCGGAACAACAATTTGTAGATCACACAAAGAGTGGTTCCGTTCGGGAATCGAACTCGCGACACGTTGCACGGCAGCCAGTTGCCTTGCCACCGCATCAACCGTGCAGTTAGTCTACAGAATATAAAATCATAAAAAAATATTTCATAAGGTTTTATTGACGTGGATGCGATCATGAGTTCATTATAAATTGCTCTTTATGTTCATATTATGTTTGTGTCGACGCGGTTTACTGTCGCAATGTACGACAAATGTATTTTGCGTTAAGTCCTAAATCTTGAGAAAAGAACTGTAATTAAACTGTAATTCAATGAAGACTTAAATGTCAACATTCAGACACTGGTTTCTATAGTGTAGGTGGAAACGAAATCACTTCATTACTTTTTCTTTGAATAAGGAGGTGAGCATCTATTTCTTACTACCAATTTAACCAAGCAGTGTCCAGCTTGTTAAATAAACGGAAATACATAAATACTAGATCCTGTTATGTAGCCAGTACCTACACAAATTATAGTCACATATTATTTGCCTTGTCTTCATAAGGAACGAGAATTTATTAAGTTATATTCAAATAATAATTAAATATTATTATTCTTTTTTCAAAAAAAGAAATCGAATTTGGATTATATTCGAATCCAAAAGTAAGCTTCCGAAAACAAACTTTAAAATATTAAAAAAACAAACTTTAAAATATTAAAAAAACTAGGAGGTTCTTAATTCAAATAAAAAGAAGCCACTATTATAGTGAAATGAATGCAACTATTATTACTAAAATCTTTCTCTTTATAAATAAATTAGTTAAATTCATAACATTTATTCCTTTTCACATATTTTACATAACGCTGCACACGGTGTTCAAGATACGAACACTTAAAAAAAACAATGTATGTATGTATGTATATATTCAAAATTATGCGAAGACAGTCGGACTCAGGTCACGAATAAAAATAAAAGGAGTATACCCCATTGTCTCATAGCAGAGTAGCATATAGAAGCCATTGTACGTACCTACATATATTTATTTGTGCATCCCAATAATGACATGGAAAAGAGCCTTCCATGTTTATTTAGGTTTATATTTAAATGTATGAGCGAGACAGCATATGTGGCTGCTTTAAACTTTGCAACTTTGCTGTAATATACAGTATGTAGTCTCTATACCTACGCTATACTTAAATAAAATAGTTCAAGCAATTTTAGGTTCTGTTTGTCGTTTTGAATTATTACGGTTAAGTTTGATTTTGGTTTGAGTCAGTAGTAGTAAACATACTTCGTTTTGTGCCTGGATAATACGAAAACTATACAGGAAAAATTATATTCTGCCATTAGCCTTAATAAAAATCAGTATATAGTCCAAAGGAAAGTCTTTTCCTCGGTCCCTTTCCCTCTATGTATGCTTAAATCTTTAAAATTACACAACGGATTCTGATGCGATTTTTTAATAGATAAAGTGATTGAAGAGAACGCTTTATATGTTTAATACAATCATTTAAATAGTGAAGAAATTTAGTATTAGCATTGCATCCGTGTGAAGCCAACTAAGTTGTATTATAATAAAAAAACTCCATATTTGTTTCTTGATATTTATCTAAATAAATAATAAAAAATAAAAACTTTATTAGCAAAGGCAAAATTATTTTTTCTTTATTTTGACTAAGTCTATTATCATCTACATTCTAATACAGGTAATATACGAAAAACAAAATAGTATGACATTCCATAATTAAATGTTTCTCTAAAACATTGTACCACCTGTATAAGGAGGCCCTGAATGCCTAGAGAGGATGCAAATAAGTTGTCTCAGTCTCAGTATCAATATTGCCGGAATCAAAAGCGCCTAGCACCCTACACTTTACACTAACTTGCTATTGAACTTGCAATAATTCTCAGTTTCCTTAAACAACAGGTTGGGCAGGACTATGAATATCAGTTACAATTTCTGTGCACAAACGGGCCACTTGTAGCAAATATCCGTTTTCAAAGTCAAAGGAATGCCTAGCCATGTCTGCCTTGAACCGACCATGTTGTTATGCATATAGATAGATATTCTAACATTTGCATACACCATGTAAGGGTTACGTGTCATGATTTTCAAAAACAAATCCTATTACAAAACGTATTGGGTAAAAAATAACGTAACTTTTATACATGGCACGTATTACATAAGACTTGTACAAACAAAAGAGAAACAATCGATTCAAGAAACTTTTTTTGTTGACAGATCGCGAAGAATCCCGTTTTGATCAGCAAAGAACAAAAACTGGCAACCAACCTTGCTATTATGGCTGTCTCAAACTGCAACTCCGAGAACACGGTACAGGGTGAAATGAGCCTTGTTATTTGAGATTCAGAGTACAGTTCTGCGTGCAGAACGGAACAGGAAGGCATGTTGAAGGAACGAGAGAGTTCGGAAGATTCCCCCGCTGCCCCTGATGAGTGTGCAGGGTGCGGGGGACGGATTCAAGATAGGTGAGTTTAATTAAAAAATATCGTCCTTGATCTCTTAGATTTTTTATTCAAGATCAAACCTATTCTCCATAATAACATAACAAACCTAGTTCTTTTGTTAACCAAGTTCTCTTTTACCAGATATTATCTGCTAGCAGTAGATCGCCAATGGCATGGAACTTGTCTCCGGTGTTGTGAATGTCGACTGCCACTCGACACCGAGCTCACCTGTTTCTCTCGGGATGGCAACATCTACTGCAAAGAAGATTACTACAGGTAAGAATTCTTCACTGAATTGAAATCGTATGACAATTTCAGAAGGAGAAATGTGCATAAAATAAATGACTAGAGCTCGTCAACTGTTCGAACTTGCGCAAAATATTTGTCTGAAAGTATTTTCCAGTACTACTCGCACTGGTCCACTCCATGCTAGTTAAATACATTTTGCACTAGATACTAAAAATGGTCCTAAAAAATCTGTAAAACAAGTGAGCAAGATGCAACGGACTTCCATTTTTAATTGAATGAATTTCCATGCAAATCCAAGTCAAAAGAAAAATATCAATAGGGAAAGTGTTTTAAAAAACTAACGGTCAGATCAAACTTGTACATGCGTGAAAATTTTGTAATCGAACCGGATGGTACCAACGATGTGTGAAGAGAAATAGTGAAGTAAAAATCTCGTTCCAATATCGTAAAAATAATGAAAATTCGAAATCTACGGAAAAATCGGTGGATATGAAACGTGAAGCAACACAAAGAAACGAATATCGAGTGATCGTCACATACGAGCGGCTACATGAAAAATTGTATGACGATATTTTCGTTCGAAAAATTCCGTGTCTGCGTAGCAGTGGCGGTTGGAGCTGTGCGTCCACAGGATGGAATTTCATACAACTTTAGAAAATACTTTTTGTCTGACCGAAGCTAACTAAAAAACGACGATTCGTATCAACACGTCACACGTTGCGCCTTCGAGCAATCTCGTTGCAGATTCATTTTTGATTTGTTTACTCGTCACACGAAAAGCTTTCGATGTCCAATTTAACCGAAACTCATAAATCATAGCAATCCGTTTTCACCAAATCAGCTGGAGGGGTTTTCTGACTTGATTATTGTATCGTTTTTGGTACGTACTTGATCGTAATTGGCTCTGTAACGTCAGCTTGCGAAGCGAACTCTTAATTTTTTTCAATTTCTCTGCTTATGCGAAGCGCTTTGCGATTTTTTTGTCGGACGAAAATATTGATTCGGATTTCTGTTTTTGATGTATTTTTATATTTAACATGATGATGTTGCCGGTGCCAGTAGTTATTGAGTGACTGTGTAGCATCGATTGGTCACGTGTAGAGAATTTATTTTTAACAGACTATTTGTGTAGAAACATCGTTATTCATTTTTTTTCTGTAATCCGTTCAAAAAACATTGTCATCATATACGATTCAAACTTGATTATGATTAAGTAAAAACGCAATAATATTTACGAAGCTTGTTCAATTATGATAATCCGATAATAAGGTACATGTTTCGCGACGCGTGTTTAACGTTTACCGAACGGCTGACAGTCGTAGGTGATATGTATAGCAATTAGGTAGCAAGGCAGGCTGTCACTCAAAGTCCACCACACTCCGCTGTTCGCACACCTGTCCACGACTTGTTTTTGTAAGCATTGCGTCAACATGTTACTGACTGAACTGCTTCTATGGTATATAAGTTATATATTAACACAATAATATTTACTAACAATTTCTTCCCACCCTTACTTTAACACGGTTTTCTTAATTTTCTTAGTTATTTTTCTAAGGTATTATTATATATTATGTTTGTATTTATATTATTATATTATATTCATTGTATTATGCATTTTAATTAATTACTTTTATTTTAAGTTAGCTCTTGTACTTTTTTGCACCGACCATATTCTTACTGCATCACCCAAAGGTTGGCTAGCAAGAATGCTTGTTGGCATTAGGCCCACCTATGTACGTTGTGCATAAAGGTTAAATAAATAAACAAATAAAGGTATTGATTGCTTTTCGTTTTGTTTGTAGTAAAATCAACCTTAAATTAATCTTTCTCGATATGAGAAATACAGTATTTCTAGTTTATAGTATTTGGTTGGTTTTCAGTTTGAACCACTGTCAAACAATTGGCTACCTGCGTAACCCTCATTTACGAGTTTGCTAACCACATAATATAATAAAATATTTGATTTATTTTGTTTTTAAAAACATGTTCATTTAATCGGACATGTTTGTTTTCTTTAAAATTATTTTTAACATAAATCATTTTGTGAATCGACAATCACGAACATGATATAGAAAAGACTGATAGCTATAATTATCCTACTGCTGAAACAAGCCTCTTCTCACACGGACCAGAATGAGCATAAATCATCACGCTTGCTCAAAATAAAGATTGGCAATTTCAAACTAATACTTAGAAGTTATAACTCTAAATTTCTTTTCGATGTTTATTTTCACTATCTGTAACGTGTAATACAAACAGCTTAGAAATTAAATAATACTTAATATCTCTAAAATTATGGGATTGGTAGTAACAGCCAGGTTTCGAAAACACAAGTTCTTTACTGAGAAGAACTAATTGCTCCCACAATGCTATAGTAAGCTTTACAAAATGAAAATTTAAATTACATTAATTAAATCATTAATCCATCGATCATCGATTCATCGATATTTTATGGCCAAAATCTAAATCCAAACTAATATTACAATAGTTTTTAAACAAAAAACTATCCTATGCTTTTAAACTAAAAACTATATAATCAAAAATCTTCAGGTAATCACTATTTCACGCGAACAAAGTCGCGGGCAAAAAAACCACTACCAACCGTTTCTTCTATTGCTCCTAGCTAGCGTCAAATTTTGCTCTTATATCCGTAACAAGAAATCACATTATGGCTTAAAAATATGCATAAGGAAACGTATGTTTATTCATATAAAAAAACAACTTGACAAATTAGTGAACTGTTTACATTTTGTATGAGAACAAAACAAACTGTCAAAACAATGTTTGATATACTACTCCAGGTATAATTTGATGCTTCCACCACCCCTCACTTTCCAAGTGGACATATGCTGTAATTGTTTACATGTGGTCCGTTAGACCGATAACAATTGATTGATTATTGAAGAGAGGGTTCTAATGTTAAGTTGTCAAAGGTTGCATACTGCGGCCCCTTGTACCCCTTGATGTCTACAGGTTGGGGGGTTATTAGTCACAATGTCGTCTGCGACAAGTGACCCCAAATGATTATGAACTGAAAAATTTTTAATGTTTCATTTATTAAGCATAGTTACTTTACATTGATCATGTTTAAACTTGCCCTTGACAATTTTGGTCTTAGTTTACCTACATAAGACTCTATTTATTAAGATGAGGCAAATCTTTACTTTGGATTAATAAATAAATTTAAAAATACATCTATGACTTACTTGATGCCGTGTTTTAACAATTTCAGTGTGATTTTTTTTTACCAAGAGTAAATTATATTTTTGGAATCAATTATTTCTTATTGCTGTGTACAATTTATTATTAAGGGATGATTTTTCAATAGTCCAGTAAAAGTTATCTGAGGATAAAAAATTTTGCTATCACTGTCTCACACAAACGTTCTGACGCGACAGCATCATATTTATTCCCCAGGTAACGTTTATTTAACCATTAAAAAATCAGCCCTAAGACTATAGGTAACAATTGATAAAATAACTCATGTTCTACTGTTGTTAATGTAAAAACAAACTTAAATACCTAACTAATAAAATCGTTTTTTAAATAACATTAGCAAGAAAAGCTCTGTTCATAAGCAACAGAGCAAATATAGTTCTCATTGTTGCAGATTATTCTGCGTTAAGAGATGCGCTCGATGCGGGAATGGGATCACTGCGAATGAGCTGGTTATGCGTGCAAGAGACCTCGTCTACCACCTCACCTGTTTCACTTGTGTCTCCTGTGGGACCCAGCTGTCTAAAGGAGATGTCTTCGGCATGAGAGACGGCCTGGTCTACTGTCGTCCTCACTATGACAACGCGTGCCTCGATGACTACTGTGATGACGATATGACCAGCATTTATAGGTATGTGTGTACTATTAGCTCTAAGCAGTTTTAATATTCATCCAGGTTCTTAAGTCGTTCACTGTCGACAGATCACTGCTAAGGGCCAATCCTTCGCTAGCATAGCCTATGTTGTCCCCCGTGGCGATCAACAGTTAAGGAAATAGGGGATGTTTTTTTACGCCATCTCCAAAATGTACATTCTTTCGTACAATTACATAAGTGATAATATAAGAGATTCATTTCAGTCTTCAGATATGTAAGAAACGCTCTACCCACTCTGCACTTTTTATTAAGACGGTATTCCACTGATCTGATATGGTCTATGATCCCACAAAATGTAACTTGGATTTTTTTCTTAACTACAACTTGTATAAAGCTAAACATTTTTCTTGCTTGCATTATTTGGTTTCCCATTCTTATAAATACATACAAGTATTCTGTGCACTATGTACGGACTTCAAAACCTGTATACCTACTGAAAAACAAACTGGCATAAAAAAATTAAAACCAAAAATATCTATCTGTTTAGAGAGCTAAGGTTTAAACAGAATCAACCACAAGCAAGAGGTTAAAAAATAGTTCTTCGATAATTCGTGTCCCTAAATTCACGCTAATAACTTCGAATACCTACACGAAATAAGAAGCTAAAAGTCTAAAATATACCAGTAGAAAATAGTATAGGTAAGAGAAATGTATTCACTTTTCAAGATACTCTTTTTTCTATTAAAAGCGTAGCGCTTAAAGTTTTTACTGTTGGTAAAAGCGTGCAGCGAGTGGAAGAATTCTGAATAGTCTTTGGTCTCTTTTGCAAAGATCTTTAGAAAATATTTTAAATATAGCTGGATTAAGATATTTCTACTTATTTTAAAGGATCTTTATATTCTGTTGATAGTAGCTAGTAATATGTATTTGGTTTTTGGTGGAAACTTTCATTGCTTTCTTTAAAAGACATTTTATTAATATTGAACGTAAATAATAATATAGAATCTGTGTCTGCTGCATTAGGTCGGAAATAGATTCCAAAATACCGTAGGCATAAGGCTGATACGTAGTTTGTCATCAAATTCATGTAAATTAATTAAGATGTTTAACATCTTTAAATTTAATAGAATGTTACGATTTCAAAAAATCCCAATTATATAATATCTGCAGACGACACAACCCTTCAAAGCGCGCTTCCGATTATTTTGCCAATTAACTCGGGTCCGCTAGGTACTAATAGCCACGAAGAATTTGTATCGCAAATTCCTATTCAAATCCGAGAAATATCAATCAAAATTCCACTTTATACCGTCGGTATTAAATTTCGAAATGTTTTTGTTTTAACTAGGTGCCAAGATCTGCATAGTGAGGGTGACTCCCCATCCCAGTACTACAATGGAGGTCCCAGTCAAAAAGGACGGCCCCGAAAGAGGAAGATACCTCAAGGCTCCCCTGATGACATGCAAGTACAAACTATGAGGATGGCCAGCACAGCTCTTGGTAAGTTCAAAACCATCACCATCCTCAGCCCAGCGAATTGTACCAAATGCGAATTAAATAACTACCTATTCCTAATATATTTTTAAAAAACTTGCTAACTTTAATTATATGTAAGTCGACTTAAAGGAAGCTTTGACAAGTCTCCCTCGCGTTTCCTTTGAACTCACCGTTACTTATATTAAGAAAATATATATTTATATTCGCGTCGAGACACAGACGATCCGGCCCCAGACGCTATACATATTTCATAGAATTCGCGCGCTCAAAATTTTAGCAGAAACTTCAGCAGGGAAATCCGAGCGCCTACCCCGATGTCCCAGATGTCAATTCATCCCGAGCCGTAATCACGACTAATGAATAGAAGACGCACTGTCAAAACTGTCTCTGTCCTTTTCTCTCTCGTTGTTTGTTCGTAAGTTAGAGGGAGAAGTATATGTTTACGTGAGTTGGGTCCTCTGTCAGGGTCGGTTTGGATTATTCTTTATAACGTCGAAATGCGAGGCACTCATTGAGGTGAATTCAGGTTGTGTTGACTTGTCGACCCGATTAATAATGGTGTAAGGTTGAATGGGGCGCGGGACAAACGTGGTTATTTTACTAGTATGTTGCACCCTAAAGTCAGTGCCTGAATCATCGATCATTTGGAAGCCATTGCATCAGTAACATAACTTTTTCGCTTCGAATCAAAATTGGGACAATACCCCTTACAACAAATACATATGAAAAGGCAACACGTAATCAAGCTAAGAATGTATGTGTATAGATAATATTATACAACGTATTAAGCTTTTACAGCATAGGTTTAAATTATGAAATTATAAGAAAATATACATGCACTGTTTTCATGCTTCTGAAAAATGCTTTCGTCGTAAAGTCAACAACAAATATCCATTGTGTGTTCATTATATTATTTATTTTTAAATTATTTGCAAAATGAATCTTTGGCAGACATTTTTGTACAAGAAGGATTTTATGCCGTAGACATTCTCTGCCAGATGAACCTATGGATGATGCATGAAAAACAGGAACACGAAATAAATATAGTAAAAATAAGAGTTTTCTAAACTCGAGGGCCAGTTCGAAAATGAAGCAGTGTATTCTGGATTAGTTAAAAAATTACTTGATATCCCACTGAACCGAAACTTCAACTTCGCCCGAAATAAGAAAGTCGGTTTTGTAATTAGATCCTCGAAAACTTCTACTTGCAATGTTAAAATAAAGGAACAAAACTAGTTTAAACCAGAAAAATTAGCTCACCATGACTTCCTCGGGCCAAAAAACATGAAGTGCGAGGTGCAGATTCCGCTTGGCAGAAAGCACGGTTCGTTACTGTGACGAACTTTTTACTTATTTTTATTTTTTATTTTCTGCTGCAACCCCGGGTAGTTAGTCCTCGTAAATTCGCAAAAACTGCACCTCAGATTAAATTTTCTAACGCGGTTGATTTTTAATTCAGCGTTAATTACTCATTTTATAATTTTATTGTCTGTTATTCAAGATAATAAAATTTTGCACAATATAATTTTGACAATAGCTGGTTCTTCTTGTGAAGGTCTCGTGACTAAACAGGTTAATGTATTTTGAACACTAATTAGGAAATGTACGCCGACAAGTCTGAAGCCTAGTTTGTTGATTATGTGATCAGATTTTGTAATGCGGAAACTAAAATACTTTATAGTTATGTTATTCAAAAATGATTTTCTCATGAAAACGTTCAATTGTGCCTAAAAAGATAATTTCAAAAACAATTGTATGTTTTGAGTACCTATGTATACTTAGATATGTGATTTAAAGACGATACTGAAAATTCGTTCTTTTTTCAAATGCTTTGACAAATTGTACCGTCATGTAATTACCACTATATCTTGATAGAGTCACACGCACTCACACTTTATTTTCCCGCCGAAACGGCAGCCATGTTGGCACAACAGCGCCATTCGAGTAGCGCGCGTGACGCTGATAATGAGAACTACGAGGGCTCTCGAGGTAGTGACGTGCCTTATCGATAATCGAAGGAGCGATCGAGAATATCGCATGGCTCGCTGCCTGTATGCAAAATAGTGGGAAGAAATTAGCAGTGTAGGTTTGATGAGACTCTTTGAAAATCACGTGACTCCGCTTAAATTTTGTACCTGAATAAAACATTAATCAAATAGAAAACTAATCTTGCAGCAAACTTTTTATCACACATCATTATTAGCCTCATTCAATTGTCAACCACTTATTACAATAATTAAACAAAACTAGATAACTCATCTACCAAATGACCGCCACAGCCTACAAATTTAAACCGTTTAACAAAAGAAAAAAAAAGCAGATGCTCGACCTTTTACCACCAACGAATAGGACCAATAAAATGTTTTTAATTAACGAATTTCGGTGAAAAAATCTATAGGCAACTTTTAAAATGACATATTGATTTTTATCTATGGCCCTTTGAAAATAATTATGAATGAGTGCTAGTGAAACAAAGGTACGATGAAAAGGCAACTGTAGGTGTACGAGTGTAAGGTTTATATTGTTTTGTGGTGTTATTTTTTAAGTGTAAAATTGAGGTTGTCGTTTGCGGTCAAGGAGCAAACAACGGTGTTTTGTTTTTTATCGATATTATAAAGGATGTGTTATTAAATAGGTCGGTTTGGGGTGTGAAGTCCATAAACATATTATTTTTTACAAATCGAAAATTGTTTTGGTGTAGTTTCGGAGTCTTACAATTAATATTTTATACTTTGCTTTCTGCGGAGTTTAATTTTTGTTATTTTTACTAGAAACCTATGAAAATTAAACGTATTTTGTAAATTTTCTTAAATTTCTGTGACAAAATTTAACCTACAAAACGATAAATTTTACCTATTCTTAATAATATTTTTTTAAATACCTCGACTAATTTTGCTCCATTGGGATGTTCAACGCCAAAGTCAAAAATATTTATTCCACATATAGGGTCTACTAAGTCTTATACTGGTACTTTCGAAACGTCAAAATTCCACCAGTCTGTTCGCAAAAAAGAAGGTGCTATATTCAAAAAAAAAAAAAAAATACGACGATAATCCTACCTATCATAACTACAACTTTAGTTCATCGAGAAATGCAAATAAAAAAAAAACAACCAAAAACTAAATGCATAACCACATAAACGCAATTGAAACAAGTTAATTAATTAATAGAAGATCAACCAAACGACTTGGTACTAAGACAGAAGCTAGCTAAAACCAAGAGCTAAGTAATATTGCAGGGCAAATTCAAGTGATCTTTAGTCACTTTGTCTTCCACAAGATACCTTCAAGCTTGACTTATGAAGCTAATCGATCAATGTGGTAAATGTGGCAATTTGTGGTCTATACTGACTCCCGTTTGCATATCGGAATCTCTCAACAATATATTGGTAAAGGGTTGATCGATCCGTGAAGGCATTGTGGCATAGAAAATTGATTTCTATTATTATTACTTGTAGAACTATATTTGTCTTTTTAAGCTAAGCGTAAGTTATGCCCTTATTAAATGATTGCTAGTCTACTATCATATACTTACATGAATTAAAGGCTGTTCCAATTTGCAGTCACTTTTCCTATTAACATTAAGTATGTAGAACAACAAATACCTATATTAAATTGAATTTCCTTGCTTCTGCACCTGCCACTAGATTATCTCTGCATCACCCAAAGGTAGACTGGTAGAGAATGCTCATTGCATTAAGTCCGCCTATGTACAATGTTTTGTGCATGAAGTCTAAAATAAATAAATAAATAAATAAATACCCCTTTAATATCTCCCGTTACCGAAAGCTTAATCCGTCTTCTATAATTTCCTTTTATATTTTAGCAATCACGCTAACGTATTACCTGAGGGTAAGCATTCAGAGCTGCCCAACGATTTTTATTGTCGCGTCGTACAAACGTCATATTTTTCGAGTATATTCCAAAAACTATATCTATACCACGTATATCCATTACTTGTATTGAAATATTTAATGTATTATATGGGAAATAATGTTTATGCAGTTGGTTGCAAATATTATAATATACCATTAAAAAGACAAACACAAGTAAATCCAATCAAATCTACCACAAAATTATTGAAGCATTGGAATCAATCCCCTACTCAAATTCAAGATTGTTATTTACAATCTCTAATTAAAAACTAATGGTTCGATAAAAAACAAAATTAATAAATGGATTCCTCATTTTATAAAAACAATAAACATTACCTTAAACAACCTCTGACCACTACGAAAAAAATTCGTTAGCATGACTCCTTCACCTGTCTTCGAAAATGGTCAAGCGTGATACTGAAATGGTATTTCGATTTATGGAATGTATTTGGTTGTTTCTTTTAGTTTTTTTTTATAAAAATATTTGTAAGGTTTTGTTAGACATAACACAGTTAAATAAAAAAAAGAAGTCATTCATTTCATCATCAGCCCATAAGTGCCCACTGCTGAGCAAAGGCCTCTTCTCACACGGACAAGGTTTATTGATAGTAGGTTTATTGATAGTAGGTTTATTGATAGTAGGTTTATTGATAGTATATTGATAGGATTAATCACCACGCTTGGCGATTTCGTACTTATAATTATAAATTATAAGTCCAGGTTTCCTCACAATGGTTACCTTCACCGTATGTCAGTGGTGTCTAAATAATCATAGAAAGTACATATTATAACTCGGAAAAAGTCACATTTGTACTTGCCAGGTTTCGAAGCCACGCCCTCCTAAAAAAAGAAGTGCTTCTGTTAAATGTTAGTCACAAAATGTAACTTGTAAATCTCTGTCCTTCGTCTTGAGCATTTAAATGCCTACTACTGAGCAAAGGCCTCTGCTCACATGAAGAAGGTTGGAGCATTAGTCACTGTGCTCGCTCAAAGCGTATTGGAAATTGCTAACTTATCATCATCAGCATAAGTACTCTTTTCCTTAACCTGAGAAAGTACACTTAACTAGAAAAAAGTCTCATTGGTGCTTAGGTTTGGATTGGCATCGCTCTCATGCGGAATCTGTTCT